GGCCCGAAACGTCAGCCTCTCTGCTCCTGTGATGCTGCTTGGCCTGCTGTGTTCATCCAGCCCTGCACCTTGTTGTCTCGGATTCTCCAGCATCTGCAGTTCCTACTATCTCTGATCTTATACTTGTGATCGGTTAACTCAATTGGCTGGATAGCTCGTTTATGATGAGGAGTGATGCTAACAATGTGGGTTCAACTCCTGCACTAGCTGAAGTTACCATGAAGGACTCTCATTCTCAACCTCTCCCCTCCCCTGATGGATGATGACCCTCAGGTTAAACTAACACCAGTTGTGTCTCTCTATAATGAGAGAACAGTCCGATGGTCTGCTAGGACATTGGTAACTTAACCTTTTACTACCTCGTACCAGAATGCTGTCACTGAGGTATGTCTTAAACAGTTTTCAAAATCAGACAGAATGGGGAAGGATTTCTGATTTTTCCCTTTTCCCAAAAATGATTCTGGTTTTATAGGACATCACATGATGTGTCAAGGTGAAGTAACCAGAGTCAAGCCCTCAGCCCTCCATCAATGACCTGGCTTACCTTGCTATGGTATTGCAGTACCTGGGCAATCACTCTTATTTCAGGACAGTACTGCTTGACAGCAATTGCCCTACAACCAGAAGAAAAGAAAAATGTTGTAAGTAGTTAAAGATGAAGTTTGAGAGCTGTTGTGCAAGTAGGTCATTGCACATTCGCCAGGAGACAGTTCCTCTCAGCAGTGTGGGTTGAAGAATTGGGGTGATTATTCTGTGGGAAATAAACTAACAGGATATGAAAGAGATGGACTCCCATGAGAGAGTTCAGGGAATAGAGGAATGTGGTTTGATGGGATAGTTAGGGGACTGGAAGGATTGGGCTTGCTGAGAGACATATCTGCTTTGAAGGATGGAATGGTCTTTTGTCATGTATTATTTTTCAAATATTTTTACACCAGCCAATAATGTGTGATATTATTTGTGAAAACTGCTTGAGCAAGATGTTAAATTTCCCAATTGACCTGTCTTAGGGCTTTAAGTCACTAGTCCTTCACCTGGACTTTCACAGCCTGTGTTTAGGTTGCAGGACACCAGTCTCTCATAAACCATTCGATGAATTTCCACTCACGTCATTCATTTAACCTGGTAACAGCTGATGGGATGAATCCACACCTCGTTTGTCCCTGAGCAAGTGAGCTATCTCAGCCAGATTGCCCTGGAAAACAGAATTGTGACCAGGGCCTTTAAAAAAAAGCTGCTTTGAGGGAGAATTTTTGGCTGTCAGAGACAAGAATCATGGTGAGAAATGCCCAGCTCAGAAAAAGCACATCACAGCCTAAGGAATGTTCATTGAAGTAACTGGTGCAATGTAAATAATGCAGCTACCAATTTCTGCATAGCAAGCTCTCACAAATAGCTGTATGGTAATGACCAAAACATTGTTTTCTTGGTAGTTCTTGAAGAATATGTTCATTGTTGTCCAGGACACAGGAGAGAACTGCCTCAATATTTTGCCAACAGTGCAGGTGATTAAACAGCCCATTGATCCAATTGTTCAAGTTCTTTTTGTAATCTTAGGTAACCTTCTTTACTGTCCACTGTACCACCAATTTTTGTGTCATCTGCAAATGTATTAATCATGCCTCCTATATTCTCATCCAAATTGTTTATATAAATGACAAACAAAAGTGGACCAAGTACTGAGCCCAGGATAGGAAGGAGCTTTTTTTACTGGAGCCTAGGAGACTGAGGGGTGATCTTATAGAAGTTTATAAAATCATGAGGGGCATAGGTAAGGTGAATAGCAAAGGTCTTTTCCCTAGGGTGGGAGAGTTCAAAAGTAGGAGGGATATTTTTTAAAGTGAGAGGAGAAATATTTAAAAAGCACATGAGGGGCAACTTTGTTACACAGAGTGATTCGTATGTGGAATAAACTGTCAGATGAAGTGGTGGATGCAGGTAGGATGACAGTGTTTGAGAGACATTTGGAAAAGTACATGAATATAAAAGGTTTGGAGGGATACGGGCCAACAGCAGGCAAGTGGGACTAGTTTAATTTGGGAACATGGTCGGCATGGACTAGTTGGACCGAAGGGTCTTATTCTGTGCTGTATGACTCTGTGAAATCTAATTCATGAGGAAAGATGGGCATATGAAAAAAATGTAGATCACATCAAAGATCAGCTTAGAGCAGTATAGAGTGAATGCTGTTTTTTTGGGAAATACATCTTTGGATGAGAGGAGAAACTGAGACTTCGTCCCATTGTTCACACAGACTCAAATGATTCCACAACACTCAAGACAGCAGCGTTCTCCCAGGCACCCTGACCAACAGTTCTTCCTGAACTAACTTTAGTCAGAAATAATCCCATTGAGAAGTCTAAAATGAGCGGCACAGATTGAACTGCTGACCAAAGCCAGTGCCTCCTGGTGACATGCTCAGAGGGATCAGGGTTTCACACTAATGTAGCTTGATCTACCTTTCTACACCAGGTTCCTACCTCATGATATTTGCAGAATCTTCCGCTTCAGGATTCAGACAGTTTTTGTCTGCCAAAATCAGACAGGCATCTGCATTGTCCGGCTATGGGTGTTGGGGGGGTTGGGGGAGTGTGGGTGGGATAAAAAGGCTTTATTAAGTTACAAAGAACAATACAACATAGGAACAAGTCTTTCGGTCCTCCAACCCTGTACTGACACATCTTGCCCATCCATTCTAAAACTGTCTTCACTTACAGGATCTGTATCCCTCTATTCCCTTCCTATTCATGCATTTGTCCAGGTGCATCTTGAATACTGATACTGTGTTTGCTTTCACCACCTCCTCTGGCAGCGCGTTCCAGGTACTCACCACCCTTTGTGTGAAAAACTTCCCTCGCACATCTCTTTTAAACTTCCCCCCTTGAACCTTGAACCTGTGTCCCCTAGTAATTGACCCCTCCACCCTGGGAAAAAGCCTCATACTTTCCACTCTGTCCATGCCATTCACAATCTTATAAAATTCTATCAGGTCGCCCATTGTCAAACCTCCTGCATGTCAGTGAAAACAAGCCCAGTCTATCCAACCTTTCTTCATTGCTTAAATCCCCAATACTGGGTAACATCCTGGTAAACCTTTTCTGTACCCTCTCTAAAGCATCCACATCCTTCTGGTAATGTGGTGACCAGAACTGTACACAATATTCCAAGTGTGGCCTAACAAAAGTTCTATAAAGCTGCAGTATAACTTGTCTGTCCTTACACTCAATGCCCCAATGAAGGCAAGCATGCCATAGGCCTTTTTTTATCACCTTATCTACCTGCGCTGTCATCTTCCGTGATCTGTGGACCTGCACACTCAGGTCCCTCCGCGTATCAATATTCCTTAGGGTTCTGTCATTCACTGTATAATTTCCACCTGGACTTGACCTTCCAAAATGCATCACCTCACATTTGTCCAGATTAAGCTCCATCCGCCATTCTTCTGCCCATGCCTCCAACTGATTCAAATCCTGCTGTATCCTTAGAAATTTGACATTCCCTTCCCTGAGAACATCCTCCAACAATTCCTTCTCTGTGGTGAATACTGGCATAAAGTATTAATTTATTGATACATAATAGCAAATATAAATAGAATGAACTCTTAGCTTTCTGCCATTGTCCAGAAATAGTCATCATTTCCTCCCGTTTCTTTCATGAAGCCATGCATTTAAGAACTATTCCTTTGACAAATTTTTGGAAATCTAAAATAGATGATCACATCAACCGCATTCATCTGAGAGTCCAGTCAGATCCAGAGAGGCTTAAGCAACAAGTGCATAATTGTCTTGCTACAAATTTTCTCGGGAGCCATGATGTCAAGGCACTACTCACATTCATACTCAGTAAATCCCTCTCGAGGAAGTATCTGACCATGAGGCTTCCAGCCAGCTTGGAAAGCGAGTGGCTCTTTTGCTACCAATTAATTTTGTATGTTTGTGCAGACTGAGTGGACTAACCAAGAGGAGTAGGGTGGCCAGAGAGGCTTCCCAACAAGTCAACTTGGTTTAACCTGTCAAAAATCAAGTAATGAATGACAGTGCCAGACCACTTATCTCCTGACTTAACCTTTCATGGCATTGTCCAGCATTGACATGTGAAAAGAAAATGGGGGTTTAGGAGGATTTAGATGGTCAATTAATTGCTTTGGACAACAACAAGTCTGAGCTTCAAAGGAAGAGACAAAGTGAGTATCCTCTAACCATGATCAGGATCACTGAGAGGAATGCGTGAGGTGAGGACCCTGTAACCATGATCAGGATCACTGAAAGCAGTGGTGAGGTGAAGACCTTTGCAGAGAAGCAAACAGACAGACGAGAGATCTGAGTGCAATTTTGGACACAAGTTTGGGCTAGAAAAATCTTGTTTAAGTGGGTTTAAAGGGAGAAAAAAAGCAGGGATCCATATTCTACTTAGTGAAAGTACGGCGGGGCACTTAGACCTGTGATTTACACATCCTGCCTTATGTGGGAAATCCTGGACACACTTGACAGTCTGGATGACCATGTGCAGGAAATACCTCTGGCTGGAGCACTCAACTAGCAGCTGGGGACACTACAGTGCATTAGACAGCACGATTCAGGATGTGGTCACCTCACAGCTTAAGAGAGGGAATAGATGAGTAGCAGATGGAAGGAGGGACCAGGCAGGTTGTGAGGAAATCCCCTGGGTGCATCTTGCTCACAAAGCACTTTCCAGCCTTGGAAAGAGAGTGGCAATTCTCTGTGAAGCCAACCAGAGGCAAGGCCAAGCCAATGTGGGTGGTTCAGCAGCTCAGGGAGGGTTTAAGAAGTGTGATAGGGTGATAGTAGCAGGGGGTTGTAGAATAGTAGACATGCACTTTCGTGGGTGTAAATGTGTCTCCAGGATGATACATTGCTCCCCGAGTGCCAGTCAGGATATCACGGAATGACTACTGGGCATTCTGAAGTGGGAGGATGAACAGCCAGAGGTCATGGCCCATGTTGGGACGAATGACAGAGGAAGAATGAGGAATGAGATCCTGCATTTAGGGATTTAGGCAGGAAACTGAAAAGCAGGTTGTAATCTCTAGATTACTCCCTGTACCAAGCCACAGTGAGTATCAGAAGAGAAGGATAGAGCAGGTGAATGTGTGGCTGAAGAGATATTACTGGAGGGAGGGCCTTAAATTTCTCAGGCATTGAGACTGTTCTGGGGGAGGTGGGAACTTTACAAAATTGATGGGTTACATCTGAACAGGACCAGGACAAACATCGTTCATGACCAGGTTTGTTAATGCTGCTGAATGGATTAAAACTAGATTGGCAAGGGAATGATATCCTGATGAGTAGTTCGAGGAGGGGAGAAACTGAGATGGAATTACAAGTTAAAATATGAGTGAATCTTGAAGGCAAAATGAACATAGGTAAATCAAAAAGAAGTGAGTTTAGCATAGAATATATTTTGATGCAAGGAGCCTGAGGAATAAAACAGATGAGCCGAGCATACAGATAGGCACATGGGACTATGGTATGAAGCTTTTATTTAGATTTAGCTGAAAGATTGGCAGGTCTGTCAACTCACCATTCCTAATTATATGATATTCAGATGAGATGGAAAATGGATTAGTAGAGAAAAGGAATCACAATATAGATGAAGGAATCAATTATAGACACTTGATCAATGAGGAATCAAGGGTTACGGGGAAAGGGCAAGAAAATGGATGTGAGAAATGTTGGAAAAGGCATGATCTGATTGAAAGGCAGACCAGGCTCAACAGGCCGAATGGCCTACCCCTGCTTCATAATCTTATAATCTTACAGTCTTACAGCCATGAGGTGGGATAATATCTTAGAAGGATCATCAAATGATCAATATGCCTATGATTAAAATACACAAAAGGGGCAAGCAGTCCATTTGTTGGGTGTGTACCATAGGCCCAAACATAGTCTGGGAGTGATAGAGGGTCAAATATGTCTCAAATTTCTGAGAAGCATAAGAATAATAAGGCAGTAAAAGCCGGAGATTTTAATTACCCAAATATTAACTGGGACAGATTTAAGGAAGAAAGACACTGAGGGAGCAAAATTCTTAAATTTCTTCCAGGAGAACTTTTTAGCCAGTACATTGTTACAACGTAGAGATGAGGTTGACACCTCTCTAATAATTAAAACACCTAGAGAAGCTCGCCTTGCCTTGTAATCTGTTAAAAGAAATGTGAAAAATGGTATCATCTGCCTCTCACCTCCCAATCTGTTATAAAGGAGAAAAACTTTGAACTCCTGAAGTCAGTCTACAATCAACAAGCAACAATTTATTTATCTAATTCAAATAGTTGACAAATTAACAGAACTATTAAAAAACCGAACAATTCCCACTTAACTACTAACTATTCCCAATTAAAACAAAATTCTAATGGTATGCTTTTCCAATAGATGCAAATCCCACTTATGTAAACAAAATTAATAAAAATAATTAAAACTTAATCTCTCAAAATTACAGCCAGGATAGGTCTTCCAGAATGTTTTTTGCCTTTTCCGCTGTCCTCCAGTCAGGAACACCTTCCTCCATCAAATTCGTGTGTCAGGAATATTAGCTAGGAGTGCCGTAGTACCTTTATTTAGATGGTGCTTACTCTGAGAGCTGAAAGATTTCTGTGAGAGCCATTGAGTTTCTCTTCAGATGGCAGTTCACTGTCACCCTGATTTTCAAATCTCTCTTCTTTTATACCATTGATGACCTGTCAATTTCTTGCATTAGGATTGGGCCTAAGTTGTCAGATTTAAATTTAATTAGTTTTCACTCTCTAAGTGCCTGGTTTAAATTAATTGGGTGATATTTAAATTGGGTGCCTTGCTAACAAAACAAACTGCAGCTTTTTTTCCTAACCATACAGCCTTTTGAGAATTCTGTGCATCTGCAGACATTTTTTAAAAATCTCCAAGCCTAGAAAAGCACATCATTGTTTAAAGGGACCGTGCACTCTTTCCCCCCTATCATTTTACAAACAAATTCTAACGTCCTGCCTTCCAGTCCGCAAGCACTCTATCCAGTTTTGCCACAACATAGAAATCCCAACAAGGGAAGAGACAGTTCTGGACCTAATATCTGGAAATGAGCCCAGGCAAGTGGAAGGTTTCTCAGTAGAGGAGCATTTTGGAGATCGTGACCATAACTCAGTTGGATCTAGGATAGTATGGAAATGGATAAGAATGGACTGAAAATAAAAGTTCTCATCTGGGGAAAGACTAATTTTACAATCAGATACAGTTTAACCCAAATAGACTGGGAGTAGCTACTTGTATATAAAACTGTGTCAGAGCAGCAGGAGACGTTCAAGGAGGATTGACAAAGAGTGGGACCTAGGTTGAAGATCCCTGAGTGTCATGGGATATAATGGTCAGGATGAAGGAAAAAGAGAAGCCTATGGTAGATATTGAGTGCTTAATATTGAGGGCAGAGTCTCTGGAGGAGTTTGACAGGGCTGGGGGGAGCTTCAAAAGGAAATTAGGAATGCCAGGAAGAGTGCAGGAGAAAGCATTTGTGGATCGAATATTAGAAAACCTAAAGGAGTTTTTAAAATATATATAAAGAGCCATTGAATAACTAGGGAAAGAACGGGGCCATCAGATTACTGTGTGGACCTGGAAGGCATGGCCACAATCATCAATGAATACTTTGTATTAGTCTTCACAATAGAAAAGGATAACACAGGTATAGAAATTTTCAGTGAGCACTGTGAAATATAAGAACAAATAAGCATAGAGAGAGAGAGGGTATGAGAGTGTGTATGTAGAAGTGCAAGCATTCCACTGGCCCTCAGCATTTAAATACTGAAGGTTTGAAACTAATGCCTTCTTATCGTCCAAGGGCACTGTCTATGATAAGTCCAAAGGTTGTCACAGCTCCATTTCAATTCCTCATTGCTGGAAAAAGTCTGTTAACTTCAACATGGCTACTCAACAAAGAGTGTTAATTAATATGGCCTTTGTTCTCCAAGTGATTGGGTCAAAGTTGTTGGACCCAAAAAAAATGTTGAAGCACAAGGCTTTGCCAATAGACCAGACAATGGAAGTGATGATTTCATCAACAGGGCCACCTACAATCTGAAACCTGCTATGGGTTCCTCAACAAGCAACGCTCTGTTGCAGTCAGGAGATCAGAGTGGGCAATGTCATCTGCTGTTCTTTTCATGGTACCATTATCATGGTAGATTAATCCAAATAAGTGAGGAGTCATTGAGATGTACAGCTCGGAAACAGACCCTTCTATCCAGTTTGTTCATGCCGACCAGATATTCTACATTAATCTAGTCCCATTTGCCAGCATTTGGCCTATATCCCTGTAAACCCTTCCTATTTCATATCCCCATCCAGATGTCTTTTAAATGTTGTAATTGTATCAGCCTCCACCAGCACCTTTGGCAGTCCATTCCATTCACTCCCCTACCCTGGGAAAAGACCTCGACTATTCACCCTATCTGTGCCCCTCCTGATTTTATGAACTTCGATAAAAGAGACTGACGCATGCACTGAGGCCTCTGTCTTATCACCTTAACACAAGCATCATCTTGCTGTTCTTACCCGAATCCTGTCCAAATCACTGGGGTTGAGTACTGATCCTTGGAAAAACTTCATCTGAGTTGTGTGTCGTTTAAACAGGGCCTGAAGCTCAAGGCCAGGGTTAAAGCTGTAAGTAAGCAGAGCAGGCATGTTAATTAAGAAGACATTTCCGTAAAACCAAGATTAGATCATTATGTGATTCCCGGTTTCAAGCTGAGTCCTTAGATACACAGGGAGGTAGCAGCATCTGTCATTTCATTTCCACAAATTAACTGAAGTGAAAATGAGGTCGTCTATGCAAGAACGTAAGAACTAGGAGCAGGAGTAAGCCATTCAGCCCTTCATGCCTACTCCTCCATTTAATACGATTGTAGGTGATCCCATCTCGGCCACAACTCCACTTTCCTTCCTGCTCTCCATCACCTTCAACCTGTTACTAATTAAAAATCTGTCTCAATAATTGGTGTCAATCTATCAGGATCATTTCAAGCATGTTTCATGTGCAGCAGTAAGTTTAAAGTCTATTCCAGTGATTCTGCAGTATAGATACATGGGCATAGCTTTGGGTCCTTCCCTTTTCATGGTTCTTTATTAGGGAGTGTTTTCTGGCTGGGTTCACATTTATTGTCCACGTGGTAGTGGTGAGCTATTTTCGCGAACCACTCTAACGCAAGTGGAAGATACATGCACAACAAATGCAGGAAATAGGAGCAACTGAACACCAGACATCGAGGCTGTTCTGCACATTATTAGGAAGAGAGTTTTGGTATTTTGACTCAGAGAAAGTGAAGGAGCAGTAATATATTTCCAAGTCAGTATAGTGTGTGATTTGAAGGTGAACTTGAAAGTGGTGCTTTTGCTGCCCTGAGTTTTCCAAATGCTAGAGGCCAGGGAATTTTTCTGAACAATATGAGGTTTGACTGCTGGTTCAGTTCTCTAATGAGAAGGTCACATTTCCTATGATAGTAACATGGGCTAAAGCAGCTCAAAATCAAATTTTGTTTGTTATGTCCTGATAGCACTGATTCACTAACTGACTAGTGTCCTCTGCCATCCGTGCGTGTTCTGAACCCGTGCCAAAATTGTTGATACTTCTCTCAAGTCAAGGGTTATTGGCGGGGGAGGGCCAGCAGGAATGTGAAGTTAAGGCTCTGATCAGTTAAGGTCAGCCATGGTCTTATTGAGTGGCAGATCGGGTCTGAGGAGCTAAATAGCCATCTATGTTCCTAATTTTTATGTTTTGAAGACCTTAAGTCACTCAATGTATCAGACTGAATGTAGTTTGGAATGGGAAATATTTTCTGGCCTTGCCATCAATGCCCACATCTTAAGAATTTTTCTTTTAAAGCATATTTCAAATCTTATAAGGAAGCTAGAAGAAAAGATACATATCAGCATTCAGAACTTACTTCTCCATAACTACAATGTCTGTTGAACTTTCCTCTCTTTCTTTACGAGTGAAATCCTTCAGAAAGTCATGGATACTGTTACAAGTAATATGACCACAGACTATAACATACCTGCAACAGACAACACACGAAGGTCAAAGGCTTCACAGCTAAACTGAATTGCTTTGCACTCGATGCGTAGGTCATTCCTTCGTTCCTTCTGAATCTGGCTTTGTCATCACTCTCCCTTGGAGATTTTCCATGAAATGGCTTAGAATAGAACAGCTTTGACTGAATTCACTGAAGGATGGGCACGGGAATGGCCACAATAGACATTGGCCATGCAAGAGGAAAACAAGGATGCAGGAATAAAATCCCAGTGTACAATCATCCTAATTTTCATTTGTAAAACATGCTGACAGTTTATTCAGCATAGGTTGGGGGGGATGGGTATTCAAGGACCTAAGTGCTAAAGCATGTCTTTTTCTGCTTTGCTGTACCTATCCTCTTTCACTAACTTCATCCTCCATTGTACTTCCTATTCACGCAGAAAATGCTGCCCCAGTGGATGTTTAGGGCAGAGGTAAACCACAGGTCATGGTAATAACGACACAATCAGTTGCCTTGTTCTCTTTATAACATTGGATTTGTACCCCACACTTAGTCAATGCTTGCACCTGTTAACTGGAGAAATAAAGTATATGGGATAGTGGTATTTGAGGTTTGAGCAGTGTGATGAGAGTACTGAATTCCCAGCTCTGCACAGCACTGATCCTAGTTGTTAAAAATATTTTAACTGTTGGTTCTCGCCAGCAACCTCCCAGTGGCAACTTCTTCCCATTCTCATTTGTGATTTGCTGTTGTTTTGGGGATACAAAATCTGAGCCAATCATGCAAACGTATCTGGTCAACTTTGATAGTGCTGGGTCACCCCTTCCTCAGGTGGCTACAGCATTGTCCCAGCAGCAATCCCTGGATAGCCTGCAGAAACTGGAAGCCTGACTAACTTTATATCTCCCATTCATCGAATGACAATGAAACCTGCGCCCACTCTAAGGTTCAGCTAGATTTTGTTGACCCAGTAAATGTTTGCTAAGGTGGCAGATAATTCAATCAAAAGACCAATGTCATCAACAAAAAGTCTGGAGAAAAGAGACGGAGAATACTCACTTTTTACCCGTGAAGTGGCTGTATCTCCCAGTATATTTCCGATGGCTTCCGATAATTTCTATAATCTCAGGGACGTGACTTGCAAACAAAGCCTGTTAGGGTTAATAATGTTTTAAATGTTTATATGCTTTCAGTTCAAAGCTGCAACCTTGCCATGTATAAACCAGAGGATATCACTTGCACTTTGCAGAGAATGGAAGAAAGAAAGAATTGCATTTCTACAATGCCTTTCTTGACTCTGGGAGATCCCAAAGCATTCCACTGCCAATGGAGTACTTTTGAAGTTGTATTTTAAGTAGCGGAGCAGTGAATTTGCATACAGCAAGCTCCCACAAATCACAATATGGTAATGACCAGATATTAGTTCCATTAATATTGATTAAGAGATAGGTAATACCAGATTACCAAGGATAACTGATCCCTGATACCTCTGATAGAGCTGATGTGGAGGTGCCAATGTTGGACTGGGGTGGACAAGGTCAGAAGTCACACAACACAAGGTCATAGTCCAACAGATTTATTTGAAATCACAAGCTTTCGGATCGCTGCCCCTTTGTCAGGTGGAGTCCTGATGAAGGGGCAGCGCTCCAAAAGCTTATGATTTCAAATAAACCTGTTGGACAATAACCTCGTGTTGTGTGACTTCTGACTCTGATAGAGCAGTGTTCCTTCAGCCAAGATTCTTGTACTCCACTTTGTAGACTGAGACTTGAATTGACAATCTTCAGATTCAATTGAGTCCACAGCACACAGCGCAGCAACAGGCCATTTAGTCCAAAGGGTCTGTGTTGTTTATGCTGCTGTTCACATGAACCTTTCCCACCTCTGTCCATCATACACTTTCAGCATAGCCATCTATTCTGTTGCTCCTTATGTGTTTATCAAGTTTCCTCTGAAAAACATCTGTGCTGTTTACCTGAATGAGGAGGAAAGCAAGTGAGGCTGCTGACTGAGAGCAATAGTGTGATGCCAAGTTAAGTCATAATTGTTCGCTCAGACAGAGAGGAAACTGGTCCCATTAATCAGTGTTGGATCCAAGAAGCACATTTGAGATGAAAGATGTTGACATCAAATAAGGAGTAAAATAAAAAGAACAAAAACAGAAGTTGCTGGAAAAGCTTAGCAGGTCTGGCAGCATCTGTGAAGAGAAATCAGAGTTAATGTTTCGGGTCCGGTGACCCTTCCTCAGAACCGGAAAATAAAGGGATTTACTTACCAAGCCCAAAATGATGAAGAATACCATGAAGACCTGGCCAACTGTAGTTTTGGCAATCAAGTCACCATATCCAACAGTGGACATGGTGACCATGAGTAGGTAGACACACTGCCAGTAGGTTAAGGTTTGTTCATTGGGTTCTTTCAACCAGGGGTCTCCTGAATTTTCAATCTGTAAACAAAGATCATAACAATTAATGACAGCCATGCAAGGAATTTCTTCAGGTGAAACATTCACATTACAGAAATGTTATAACAAAGTTGCATCCATGGACGTGACTAAAATTATACACAATATCCTTAGATCTTTAAATATGATCTCCTTCTTCATTCTTATTCTGTTAAGAATAACTGTGATCCTGCCACAGGTAACGCAGCCACCTTCAATGGGGCAGGGGCAGAGAATGGACCTGTGTAAACTACCTTCACAGAAACTGGAGAATGGGGAAGCAAATCTGAGCTGTTCCTGAGCAGCTCAAACTGCTTACAGTTTTCAAGCTGAACAAACTCAATCCCACATCAGGTTCCACATTCATCACTCCATCTCACTGGCTTTGCTTTTCCAATGCCTTGTGCTCAACTCTTCCATGGTCTCAATCTCTCCTCCCTCTCCCTTGAACCTACTCCAGCCCTTTAACCCATCTCACCACATAATTTACTGATTCCAGACTCTTCCCCGGTACTCTGGTCTCATAATTGGCAACCAGGGCACTTTGTTGTGGAATTCATAGAATCCCTGTAATATGGAAGCAGACCATTTGCCCCATCCAGTCCACACCAACCCTCCAAAGAGGATCCAACCCAGGCCCACCCACCCCATCCCTATCCCTGTAACTCTACATTATACATGGCTAATAAGAACATAAGAACTAGGAGCAGGAGTAGGCCATCTGGCCCCTCGAGCCTGCCCCGCCATTTAATAAGATCATGGCTGATCTTTTTGAGACTCAGCTCCACTTACTCGCCCACACACCATAACCCTTAATTTCTTTACTGTTCAAAAATTTATCTAGCCTTGCCTTAAAAACATTTGGCGAGATAGCTTCAACCGCTTCACTGGGCAGGGAATTCCACAGATTCACAACCCTTTGGGTGAAGAAGTTCCTCCTGACCTCAGTCCTACATCTGCTTCCCTTTATTTTGAGGCTATGCCCCCTAGTCCTAGTTTCTCCTGCTAGTGGAAACAACCTCCCTGCCTCCACCTTATCTATTCCCTTCATAATCTTATATGTTTCTATAAGATATCCTCTCATTCTTCTGAATTCCAATGAGTATAAGCCCAGCCGGCTCAGTCTCTCCTCATAATCCAACCCTCTCAACTCTGGAATCAACCGAGTGAATCTCCTCTGCACCCCCTCCAATGCTAGTATATCTCTTCTCAAGTAAGGAGACCAAAACTGCACACAGTACTCCAGGTGCAGCCTCACCAGGACCCTATACAGCTGCAGCATAGCCTCCCTGTTTTTAAACTCCATCCCTCTAGCAATGACAGACAAAATTCCATTTGCCTTTTTAATTACCTGCTGCACCTGCAATCCTACTTTTAGCAATTCATGCACAAGGACACCTAAGTCCCTCTGCACAGCAGCGTGCTGCAATGTTTTACCATTTAAAACATAGTCCATTTGGCTGTTATTCCTACCAAAATGGATGACCTCACACTTATCAACATTGTACTCCATCTGCCAGACCTTTGCTCACTCACTTAGACTATCTATATCCCTCTGCAGACTTTCAGTGTCTTCTGCACACTTTGCTCTACCACTCATTTTAGTGTCATCTGCAAATTTTGAATACCACACTTAGTCCCCAACTCCAAATCATCTATGTAAATTGTAAACAATTGCGGTCCCAACACTGATCCCTGAGGCACACCACCAGCTACTCACCGCCAACCAGAAAAACACCCATTTACCCCTATTCTTTGCTTTCTACTTGTCAACCAATCCTCTATCCATGACAATACATTACCTGTAATACCGTGCAACTTTATCTTATGTAGCAGCCTTTGGTGTGGCACCTTGTCAAATGCCTTCTGGAAATCCAGATACACCACATCCACAGGATCCCCATTGTCCACCATGCAAGTAATGTCCTCAAACAATTCCAACAAATTAGTTCAACATGACCTACCCTTCATGAACTCATGCTGGGTGTTCCCAATGGAACAATTTATATCCAGATGTCTTGCTATTTCTTCCTTAATGACAGATTCAAGCACTTTCCCCACTACAGAAGTTAAGCTAACTGGCCTACAGTTAGAGAGGTAGTTAGGAACTACCTGCTTTTTGTTTACTTCCTTTTTTAAACAGTGGCATCACATTGGCTGTTTTCCAATCTGCGGGAACCACCCCAGAGTCCAGTGAATTTTGGTAAATAATTACTAGTGCATTTGCTATTTCCCCCATCACCTCTTTTAGTACCCTGGGATGCATCTAATCAGGGCCAGGAGACTTGTCTACCTTTAGCCCCATTAGCTTGCCCAGCACTGCCTCCTTAGTGATAACGATAGTTTCGAGGTCCTCACCTACTATAACCTTCTTGCCATCAGTTTTCGGCATGTTATTTGTGTTTTCCACTGTGAAGACCGACACAAAATAACTGTTTAATGTCTCGGCTATTTCCTCATTACCAGTTATTAAATTGGCCTTCTCATCCTCTAAAGGACCAATGTTTACCTTCGCCACTCTTTTACGATTTACATATTTATAGAAACTTTTGCTGTCTGTTTTTATATTCTGAGCTAGTTTACTCTCATAATCTATCTTACTTTTCTTTATAACTTTTTTTGTGGCTTTCTGTTGGCCTTTAAAGATTTCCCAGTCTACTAGTTTCCCACTACTCTTTGCTTTTTTGTATGT